ATATATATATATATATATATATATATATATATATATATATATATATATATATATATATATATATATATATATATATATATATATATATATATATATATATATATATATATATATATATATATATATATATATATATATATATATATATATATATATATATATATATATATATATATATATATATATATATATATATATATATATATATATATATATATATATATATATATACATACATACATACATACATACATACATACATACACATACATATATATATATATATATATATATATATATATATATATATATATATATATATATATATATATATATATATATATATATATATATATATACATACATACATACATACATACATACAGTGATCCCTTGGCTAACGAGCGCCTCGGTTAACGAGATTTCTGTTAATGAGTTACCTCCCATAAGATTCTTAACTTCGATTAACGAGTTTCTTACGAGCCGACCTCAACAAGTTTTCGCTTGCACTTGGCGGTCAACCAGCTGTAGTATTAGTCCGCCAATACAGTAATCGGTTCTAGGGCTTAAACTCCTTACTATTTTAGTAAATATCAAGAAGTTTATACTATTCAATAATTATAAAAGTTTAATGTTAAATTTTTTAGTACAGTCAACCCTCACTTTACTCTGTTAATGTAACCCACAGGGTACCGCGGAAAGTGAGAAACGCGTAAAGTGAATAACATAACATATGGGATTAAATGAAATAGAGACCAGCTGACCCCCAAACTCCACTTTTTCCAACACAATACCTATGTTCTAGTAAAAGTAACATCTTAATTTTATGATGGTACATGCACACAATTAATACTTAAGAGAAATAGAGAAATACAGTCGCCAAATTAATGTCCATTCAAATAATGGACACGACTCCCTCCCCCTCTTCTCACACTACACTGCTGGCTCTTCCCTCTGAGAAATTTTGGGGGGAAAACCAGGTATAGTAATAAATAATACCTCAAACTAAAGTTAGGATAATATAATTGACATTGCTGGATTCCTTGTAAGACCAGGAATATTTTGAATATAAATGTCATATATTTTTCACAAAAGATAACATATTTACTCAGATTAAACATTTTATCTAAAATTTGTATGTCTAATGCAAAATATATGATGTTTATATTCAAAATGATCACCAAATTGTAAGAATTCCAGCAATGTAAATTATATTCTGGCCGGGTAATTTGTATGAATTTTATGAGCTAAAACAAATATCTTCAGTTAATAAAAAAAAAATATTCTTCACGACACTATCTGTCAATCAAAGTACCCCACCTTGCCTTCCCCCTCTTCCAACCGCGCGGGCAGTCCCAAACCTCCCCCCCCACCCCCTACCAATCCTCCCTTCAAGAGATGTTGGGTGAAAAAAATAAATTTTAACATTTTGTATTAAATAATACCTCAGATTAAAGTTAGGATAATATAATTAACATTGCTGGATTCCTTGTAAGACCAGGAATATTTTGAATATAAACGTCATATATTTTGCACAAAAGTTAACATACTTACTCAGAGTGAACATTTTATTTAAAAATTTTATGTCTAATGCAAAATATATGATGTTTATATTCAAAATGATCATCAAATTGTAAGAATTCCAGCAATGTAAATTATATTCTGGCTGGGTAATTTGTATGAATTTTATGAGCTAAAATAAAAATCTTCAGTTAATAAAAAAAAAATATTCTTCACACGGTAACAGATGGTCGGTCGCCGGTCCCTCCCTCCCTCCCCCCCACCCCCCACCAACGTCCCTACTAGATAAATGTGTGGGAATACCAGACTGTTTACCTTTTTAGTAATAAATAATAAATCAGACTAAAGTTAGGATAATATAATTGATATTGCTGGATTCCTTGTAAGACCAGGAATATTTTGAATATAAATATCATATATTTTGCACAAAAGATAACATATTTACTCAAGTGTAAACATTATATCTAAAATTTGTATGTCTAATGCAAAATCTATGATGTTTATATTCAAAATGATCATCAAATTGTAAGAATTCCAGCAATGTAAATTATATTCTGGCCGGATAATTTGTATGAATTTTATGAGCTAAATAAAAAAAATTATACTTCACCGTGTAAAGGGGTACACCCACCGCGGAATGTGAGCATCCTGGGTTCTGGCAGGGCACCGCGTAAACGTGGAAATGCGGAATGTGGGACCGCGTAAAGTGAGGGATGACTGTAATTTTAACAATTATTGAACATAATTGAAGGTAAAGTGACTAGTTTTATGTTCGCCATCCAGCCTCTTAACACAGCAAACAAGCATTAGTCTCTCTGTTTTCAGTGGAGGTAACATCTTGCTTGAGACTCTCTTCAACTAAATGCTTTTTTTCTGTGTTTCCAAGCAAATTATTGGTCATTTTAAAATTTATTTTACATATTGACAATATATAGCGCAGTGCAGTGTTATTTTAAAGAAAATATTCTTTATTTCCAGCAAGTTTATACCTAAAAGATCATGTTGACATTGTTTGAATCCAGCATGGGGCTTAAGAGATCAAGAAAAGCAATTTCAATCCAATCCAAGTAGGAAATTATAAGAAAACATGAACAAGGCATTAGAACAAATGCGCTATGCAAAGAATATGGCATGTCGACATCAACTGTGTCGACAATTCTTGCACAGAAAGACAAGTTTAAAGGAGTGAGAGACAAATCTACAAGTGTTTAAAAGTAGATCCCTAAATGCAGAAACTGAGAGGTTACTTCTCATCTGGATTAGGGAAAAACAGATGAAAGGTGATTCAGTTTCTACTGAATTCATTTGTGAAAGAGCCAGGCAGATATACGAACATTTAAAGACAGATCAACCTGATTCTTCAGGCACAGAATTTGAAGATTTTCGGACCAGCAAAGGCTGGTTCGAAAAATTTAAGAAAAGAAGTGACATTTTCAGTGTTAGGTATGGTGAAGCTGCTAGTGCTGATACGGAAGGGGCAGCAAAGTTTTTAATGGAATTTAAAGAACTGATGGAAGAAGAAAATTATCTTCCACAGCAAGTATTCAATGTGGACGAAACTGGGCTGTTCTGGAAAAAGATGCCCAAAAGAACATTCATCACCAGAGATGAAGCCTCTTTACCTGGGCATAAACCCATAAAAGACCGTCTCTCTCTATTGCTTGGTGCCAATGCTTCAGGGGATTTCCGACTGAAGCCTATGCTTGTCTACTACTGAAAACCCCAGGGTGTTCAAGAAACAGAAAGTGGTAAGAACAAAGCTTGGAGTTTATTGGAAGTCCAACCGTAAGGCATGGGTGACAAGACAGTTCTTTAATGAATGGGCTGTTGATGTGTTTTGCCCTTTTGTCAAGAGCTACCTAACCACCAATAAACTCCCTTTAAAGGCTCTTCTCATGGATAATGCTCCTGGTCATGACCCTGAACTTGCCAGAAAATTGGAGTATCAATTTGACTTTGTAAAAGTGTTGTTTTTGCCTCCAAACACTACATCAATCATACAGCCAATGGACCAGAATGTAATCAGCAACTTCAAGAAGTTGTACATGAAGAAAATGTTTAGGAGGTGTCATCAGGCAACTTCCAATGATCCTGAACTTACACTGAAACAGTTCTGGAAGACACAATTCAACATACTGGTGGCTGTAAAATTGATTGTGTCATCATGACAAGAAGTCTCCACTAGATCCCTCAATTCTTCATGGAAAGCACTGTGGCCATCAGTAGTCCATGATTTTGAGGGATTTGATGATGACACAGAGTTGGACCAGGAGATTGTGTCCATTGGTCAGTCATTGGGCCTTGAAGTGGAGGAGGAGGATGTGGAAGAGCTTGTGATGTCTCATGAGGAGGAACTTACTCCTGATGACTTGAAGGAACTGGATGAGATGTTACGGGTAGAGGCTGACAGTGGTGAGGAGGAAATTGAAAGTGATGACCATGTGTCAATTGAAGAGTTGAAAAATGTGATTTACCACTGGGAGAAGTTCAGGGAACTGGCTTCAAAGCACCCAGATGTGGAAAAAACTGAACTAACTTTGTGTCATGTTGAGGACTCAATGGTCTCCTTCTTTAAACATAAGTTAATTGTGTGGAGGACAGATGCCCCACAGACCACAATTGACACTTTCTTCAGCAAAAGGCAGAGGGAACAAGATGCTATCCCTCTGCCTTCCACTTCAAGAAGGAGAGAGGATGATGCTAGCCCTCAGCCTTCCACTTCAAGAAGGAGAGAGGATGTTCATGGTGGAGAATCTGTCAGTCCAGAGGTTCCTGACATTTTCATGGAAGGTGACTCACCTTCCAAGAAGCAGTAAAATGCTTCTCCTCCACCTCCACTTTCTTCTCTTCTCCCTTTTCCTCCTCCACCTCCTACTTCAAATTTACATCATCATCATCATCCAGGAGCCTTCTACATACACACCTCAAGGTAAGTGTCCATTTCTAAAATTTTTGTTGAATTTAGGCAATTTTCGGTGAGCTGGAACCAATTACCCAAAACCCATTGAAATAATGGTTTCGGTTAACGAGCAACCTGCTGGAATGGATTGTGCTCGTTAACCGAGGGACCACTGTGTGTGTGTGTGTGTGTGTGTGTGTGTGTGTGTGTGTGCGTGTGTGTGCACGTGCGTGCGTGCGTGCGTGCGTGCGTGCGTGCGTGCGTGCATGCGTGCGTGTGTGTGTTACAGGTACTGTATTATAGAACTTTAGGAATGTCTCTCATGGGTCATTACCCCAATCCTCGCATTTCTCATGGGACGCAACCTTGCTAACCATGGGAGAATTATAGAATGTAACACCTGTAGATGGTGAGGAATTTATTGTTTACAGTACTGTACAGTATACTGCATGTCCGTATATAAAATAGTTCAAAACTACTGTTCTGTACTGTATTGATAATAGTATATGCTGTTAACACAGCATATATTTAAAAAAAAATAAATATTATATACATACTATATATACAGTATATATTTTAGAGTGTCAACACATGCTGTTGGAGATTTATGCCTAGAGGGTGACCATCCTGCTGCGCTTGTTCTGGAGTCGCCCTTTAATAACATCAAAGATGAAATCAAGTTCCATCCACTCTCATCTGTAAGTTTGAATTTTCTTATTACACCTGCCTGGGGCTTCTTATAACCCCACCCCTCCCCTGTGTTGTTAGGGTGCATGAGGATGGTAACCACACATTCTTATATTATTGCCAATGTTTTAATTTGAAGCAAATCTTTCCTATTTTGCTCGAGTCAATCTGGAGCATCATATTTTAAAATTCGCACCTAATGTTTTTCTGGGCACGCTACAGTGTCCTAAGGGCAAAGCTGTACTGTACATGTACTCAAAATAATGAGCTAAATGATTACTAGAATTTTTGTCTAGTGCAAATTATAGCATGTTTAAATTCAAATTAATCTCTATCTTATAAGAATTCCAGCAATGTTAATTATATTCTCCCATGTCAGTTCAGTGACATTTTATAAGAGAAAAACTTAGTCACTCTCAAGGACAGATAAATAAATAAGCACTAGACCTTGGCATCAACTGTCAAACATATCACCTCATCTCACCTCCCTCCCTGCCCCCCCCCCAGCCAGTAAACAGACCATTTTGCATCCCTTAATTTTAGCTGTGTTGATTTATGAGTGTTTGTTTTAACATAATACCACAAAAAACAATGTTTTGTTTATTCTAGGAGATGGTCTGAGATGCATCTGGGTAGACTCAGTCTTTTTAGTATTTTGTGTTTCTCTCAAGTACCAAACTAAATTATTCCATTGAAACAACACTTCGATTTAGTGCAAGTTCAGTTTAAAGCGACTCCTCTTGGAACCTTTCTCGTGTTATATCGGCATTCTACTGTATATATAATGGATCAATTGATTGACAAATAATATTCAAGTAACATAAGTGATACAAATATGACATTTAATAACTAGGGGAAAAGGTCATACTACGGGGCATTTCAACATAGTAACAGTGCAAAAAGGTAAGATTGGCTGTGAGTGAATACACTGGTCAACTATGAGTTGTTGATCATTTTTACAATGGTTGGAACTGGGCTGTTCTTATAGCGATCAGTACGTGCTTGTATGGGCTGGATGCAGTTGTGGTGTCGAACAGCAATTCGCAGACGAGGGATCTTGGGTGGTAGTAGGAGCCGGTGTTGAGGATGGTGCAGAAGCTTCTTACCAAATTTGTAGATGAGGTCGTGGTGATGATCAGAGAGAGCCGAGAGAGTAAGTGTGGTGAGCGCTTCTTGATATGTGGAGTAAGAAGGGGAGAGAATAATCTTGTATGCACTCTTTTGCAATTTTTCCAGGTGTTTCCGTTGTGTGACATTTAGGGAGGAAGATCAGGCAGGGGAGGCATAGGTGAGCTTTGGAAGTATGAATATTGAGTAAGCGTTGAGGAGCTCGGGCGCGGAAACTCCGAGGGACTTGAGTCGGCGGAGGAGGTGGAGATGAAACTAGAGGATTTGACAACTTTACTGACGTGTGTTTTCCAATTTAGTCTATCTATACTGACGCCGAGGAGCTGTGTGTGTGTGTGTGTGTGTCAAGAAAATGGGATTGTGGGAAAAGGTTTGTGGTACTAATTAAGGAGAATGTAATTGCCGTTAAGGCGATCACAGGATAAGGAGACCCAGTACGTGGACATGAAGAATATAATTCGGTCAAAACATGTCTACAATTATTACACGTAAGTAAACATCATTTTGATATCACACTAATACAATGGTGGGATCTCGTGTATGCACTAATGTTCTGTAAACAGACTTGTGTGTTAGGGTCTTAAGGAGAGAGAGGGGTGTTTTCAGTACGGCTCCAAAGCGTTTATTGCCCTCACAGCAGAGGGAACCACCGAGGTACTAGGCGCCGTCTGGTCTTTATTAACGGATCAGCAAATTCCAGCGTCTGCCTTCTGTAAACACATGACCAGCACCTCCACTCACTACACACTCACTACCTCTCTCTCCACCTTCACATCTCAGCAACCACCGAAACTTAAATATCTCCTGGTTCTTCTCATGGACGGTAACAGAGAAGTAAAGGGTAAAGGGTAGGAAGTTATAAAAGGACAACAGGAGTACAGGGAGATTAGAGAGAAAGCAGTTAGAATGGTGAGAGAATAATGAAGAAGAGAGGAGATGAAAGATCACAAATCAGGTTGACTGAAGGTTTTACAGAGTTGTTGATTTGGATGCTGGAAGGAACTGAATTTTATACATGGTGTACTGTACTGTACTAGGGAAGCTTATGTTGATTGTACTGTAGGTCATTTTGGTCAGTAATTTTGACCTTTTCGGACAGTAACTTCCATATGAACTTCTTCTCGTACATCACAATATTTAAAAGGAGTATAAAAAGTTTCTATCTTCCTACAAACTATCTTTTTTCAGTTTTTTCGCAAGATGCCGAAGTTTGAGTGGTTGTTCTTGAAGCCTTTGGCAGCATCAGGTATCGACTTCTGTAGTGATGCCCACATTGCCCATGTTCAGGCCCCAGTCCTGATATTACATGCAGAGGATGATCTGGTTGTGCCCTATGCATTAGGACAGAAGGTCAGTAATTTTGTGATCACAGCTATACAGTATTCTTATAAAGCTTTTTTTTTAATATTTGACAAATCATTCTTTCTTCTTTATCATTATTTAAAAAATAAATAAATGATGTAATACTGTACAGTAGACCCTTGCCATTCGTGGGCTTGTGATTTTGATAATTCGTGGAAAGCAGATGGTGGCTAGCTTGTGAGCCTTTGCCCGCAGCACAATGAGTCACCCATTCACCTGCAGCCTCTCCTATCCCTCTGTTCACACCTGTGATGCAGCATGTCATGTTGTTCTCTAAAAAATTTAGTGTTTGTATGAAAATGGCCCCTAAAAGACAGCTTAGTGTCAGTGCTAGTGGAGTGAAACGTAAAAGGCAGAAGTCAATCATGACCCTGACAAAGAAAGTTGAATTATTATACAAGTTAAAGGAGGGAATGAGCACTGCCACGGCTGGTCGGTTGTTTGGTATAGGTAATGCACTAAGGTAGTATTAAGTTGATATTCTCAGTTTTGCCTATTCACACCATTCCTTGGAATCTAACCCCCACGAATAACCAGGGTTTACTATTTGGAATCGCAGTAAAATATGATGTTTTAGATCATTGTGACTCCTAATTTATTAACTTTTTAGCTAGATAGCCTCCTGTTCTGGACAAACCTTATTTTAAGGTTTAGTCCATTATGCCTCATGTCAATAATAGCTGGGGACTGTTTTTTTTTTTCCATTCATCCCTCCCCATTGTGCCAATCACCCTCAGAAGCAGGATATTAGATACAAAGGTTTCATCTTTTTTTTTTAAGCTTCTAAATTTAATTCCTACAGGTACCAGTATACTGTATACATACAATTAGATAATGTGATTTTTTTTTATATACGTAATATAAAGTGGATCTTCGAATGCCATTTTGTCACAGGAACCTAGTGCCCTACAATATATTTCATGGTACGTCTGGCTGTGCCTTAGTAGGGATTTTTTTTGTCCATTGCCCAGGTAAACAAGCACCCTATGAGAGTTGTCCCATATAAAAATGATGGGAGTACAGTATTTAAAAGAAGGCTACTCCTGTAATTTTTCCTTACCTTACCCTTCCCCAGTGATACAGCAGAAACCACCAGGAATATAGTAGAACGGCGATTTAAAGCGATTCAATTTAAGATTATTGATTTAAAGCTACACCCACAATTAAGGACAATGTTTTAATTTAAAGCAAATCTTTCCTATTTTGTGCGAGTCAATCTGGCGCATCACATTTAAAATTTTGTTCCTAATGTTTTTCTTGGCTCGCTACACTGTCTTAAGGGCAAAGCTGTACTCAAAATAATGTACTAAATGATTACTAAAATTTTAGTCGAGTGCAAACTACAGTATAGCATGATTATATTCAAATTAATCACTATCTTATAAGAATTCCAGCAATGTAAATTATATTTTCCCCAGTCACTTCTGTGACATTTTAAAAGCAATAAACAAAAACTCACTCCAAAGAACATAAATAAATAAATACTTCACTTGACCTTTGGCGCCAACTGTCAAACATGTCACTGTCACTAAAACCCCTCCCTCCCTCCTCCCCCTCCCAGCCAGGGTTTGGTGGTTTTAGGCTTAAAGTTTTTATCTTATATAATATCACAGACTAAGGTTAGGAGAATATAACCTGCATTGCTAGAATCCTTGTAAGACAGCAAATAATTCGAATATAGACATCATATATTTTCCACAAGATATACAAATTTTAGTCAAATGTACTAATTAAGTACAGTACTGAAATTGTTTATGTCTATTGCAAACTACAGTTGTACCCCACTTAACGCGGTCAATAGAACCCAGAGGGTCCCGTGTTAAGTGAAATCCGCGTTAAGTGAACAACAGAACATATGGGATTAATTCCAATAGAAACCGGCCCGACCCCCAAACTCTACTTTTTGAAGGCACATACCTATGTTGTAGTAAAAATAACATCTTAATTTTATGATGGTACATGCACACAATTAATACGTAAGAGAAATAGAGAAATACAGTCGCCAAGTTAATGTCCATTCAAATAATGGACTCGACTCCCTCCCCCTCTTCTCACACTACACTCCTGGCTCTTCCCTCTGAGAAATTTTGGGGGGAAAACCAGGTATAGTAATAAATAATTCCTCAAACTAAAGTTAGGATAATATAATTGACATTGCTGGATTCCTTGTAAGACCAGGAATATTTTGAATACAAATGTCATATATTTTTCACAAAAGATAACATATTTACTCAGAATAAAATTTACATCTAAAATTTGTATGTCTAATGCAAAATCTATGATGTTTATATTCAAAATGATCACCAAATTGTAAGAATTCCAGCAATGTAAATTATATTCTGGCCGGATAATTTGTATGAATTTTATGAGCTAAAACAAATATCTTCAGTTAATAAAAAAAATAAAATATTCTTCACAACACTATCTGTCAATCAAAGTACCCCACCTTGCCTTCCCCCCCTCTTCCAACCGCGCGGTCAGTCCCAACCCTCCCCCCCACCCCCACCAATCCTCCCTTCAAGAGTTTTTAACATTTAGTTTTAAATAATACCTCAGATTAAAGTTAGGATAATATAATTGACATTGCTGGATTCCTTGTAAGACCAGGAATATTTTGAATATAAATGTCATATATTTTTCACAAAAGATAACATATTTACTCAGAATAAACTTTACATCTAAAATTTGTATGTCTAATGCAAAATCTATGATGTTTATATTCAAAATGATCACCAAATTATAAGAATTCCAGCAATGTAAATTATATTCTGGCTGGGTAATTTGTATGAATTTTATGAGCTAACACAGGCAGTCAGGCAGGGTGGCGGGTGGGGGGTGGGGCGAATCTAAAAATAGCTCTCGAGCCACTCACCGTGTATATGTGGAAAAAACCCGCGTTAAGTGAAAGTTCAGCTCTGGCGAGGCACCGCGTATATGGTAAAACGCGCTAAGTGAAACCGCGTTAGGCGGGGTAATACTGTATAGCATGTTTATATTGAAATTAATCACTATCTTATAAGAATTCCGGCAATGTTAATTACCTATATTCTCCCAGGTCAGTTCAGTGACGTTTTATAAGAGTAAAACATAAACTCCCCCTATATGACACATAAATAAATACCACTAGGTAACTGTTGTCTGGCTCCGGCTCAGCTGTCATCATAAATCGACTCTCCTCCGACTTCCCATAAGAGTGACTGGTTTTTAAGCTTTAAGTTTTGATCTTATAAAATGTCAGACTAAAGTTGCAGAATGTAAATTGCATTGCTGGAATCTTTGCAAGACAGTGAATAATTTTAATTCAGACATCATATGCAGTATTTTGCACAAGAGATAAAAATTTTAGCCCTTTGTAATAAAATTACTAATTACACTAAAATTTGTATGTCTCTTGCAAACTATAGCATGTTTATATTCAAACTAATCACTTTCTTATAAGAATTCCAGCAATGTTAATTATATTCACCCAGGTCAGTTCAGTGACATTTTATAAGAGAAAAACTTAGTCACTCTTAAAGACAGATAAATAAATAAGCACTAGACCTTAGCATCAACTGTCAAACATATCGCCTTACCACCCCTCCCCCCATCTTCCCATCAGCTGATCGCTAGTAAACAGACCATTTCACATCCCATAATTTTAGCTGTGTTGATTTATGAGTGTTTGTTTTAACATAATACAGGTTGTACCTCTCTAGTCTGGCAACCTCGGGACCTGACCGGTGCCGGACCATGGAAATTCACCCTTTTCCTGGATAGATAGTAACTTGTGCTTATGCCTGGAAGCACTAGCACCACTTTCTCTGCGTCATGGTCTCTTTGAAGACATATTGAAGGGTTAAATGTCGTATAGTAGCTTCTCAAATTTCGCGAGTTTTTAATTCTTAACGTATTTTATTGGAACACACAAAAAAATAAATAAATAAAAATTTTGATGGCGGAAACTTGAATTTCGACGGGTTTGAACGGCCCGCCAATGTGCAGACGACGTGCATAATAGTGTAAACAGCGTCATTTCTCTTATGTACAAAAGATTCATTATTGTTTATTACTGAATGTCTTTTTTATTGAATTAATGTTTATGTGTGCAAAATGAGCAATAAAATTCATTAATAATACGTAGAATATTAAAACACACGAGGAAATGACAAAGCATTGTTTTCGTTGATTACAAAACCAGTGACTGACTGGTTCTACATATAAAACTGAAGAAAATAAGACCTTGGTTGTAGCTGTAGTAAAATTAATATGGTTGTTTTAAGTAATGTTATTTAATGTTAATAAATGGAACAATAGAAGTAGCTAACGATAATGGTAAAGAAAAAAGAGAGATCGCATATGTAAATGCGCATGCGCACACGTGAAAACATATCGTCATTACTTTACATAAGAATATGAAAGCAACACTTATTTACTGTTCATATATATTTTAATTAATGTTTCTGAATTTGTTTTTATTGAATTAATGTACGTGTGTGCAAAATTAACAATACAATTTATTAATAATACGTGGAATATTAGAGGAGACGAGACCGCTGCCGGCATTGTTTATGTTAAAGCTTACGAAACCAGTGACTGATTGGTTCTACATATAAAACTGAAGAAAATAAGACCCTGAGTTTAGCTGTAGTAAAATTAATGTAAAAAATGAATATGGTTGCTTGAAGTACCTGTAATGTTATTTAATGTTAATAAATGGAACAATATAAGTAGCTAACCATTAATGGTAAAAAAAAAAGTGAGACTGCTCGTATGTAAGTGCGCACATGTGAAAATATATCGTCATTACTCTACATAAGAATATGAAAGCAACACTTATTTACTGCTCATATATATTGAAGGGTTAAATGTTGTACTCTGTATAGACAAGCAGAGAGAGAGAGAGCAGCCGAACTGCCGGATGTAAACAAACCTTAATTTCCCGCAGCTTTTTTTTTTTTAAGGGGATTAGCCCACCCGGGCATAGGTCACTGACCCACATTGGGGCCTGAGGGGCAAAAATTTAATACTCCTGTAATAATAATAATAATTCAGATAAGTAAAAAAAAAAAAAATAAATAAATAAAAAAAATAAATAAAAAAAAAAATAAAAATAAAATAAAATGCTGCCTATCTACCTATTGGACAAACCAAAATCGTTCCGGACCACGGGAGTTTCCGGACCACAGAATGCCGGACTAGAGAGGTACAACCTGTACTACAAAAAACAATGTTTTGTTTATTCTAGGAGATGGGCTGAGGTGCATCTGGGTAGACTCTGTCTTTTTAGTATTTTGTGTGTCTCTTAAGTACCAAACTAAATTATTCCATTGAAACAACACTTCGATTTAGTGCAAGTTCAGTTTAAAGCGACCTCTCTTGGAAAGTATCTCGTGTTATATCGACGTTCTACTGTACGTACAAGTTCCTATATCATCATTGGCTAAATTGTAGTTATTCCATAGGAAATTGTTCCTAAAATCCCATTTTCAAGCAGAGCTTCCCTCCCTTCTCCCTTGGGTAGTGGTTATTCAGAGGGAATCTAAAGTAAAATGGGAAATTGGTTGTGAAATAATGATGTTGACCAGGGATAGGAGGGAAGTGGACTGACTAGGTAGACATTTACTTTTAATTAAACCTGCTTTTTAAGAGCAACCTTTGTAAATCCAATCTCTCTTGTCTTTAGGGAATAGGTTTGATGGGAAAAGAAAGCCTATTCAAAGCTCATTCCTCAGGTCCACATGGGCTATCATGTGATGAACAATACCCACAGATAAGGCTTGTGCAGTGACAAGAGCTGCCTGGCCATGTTCTCATACCAGTAAATAGGACCTCAGAGTCAATATACTATTTTTAATAAAAAATTTTTTTTTTCCAATAGCTCTATGAGACAGCCCTGAAAGTGAGACCGAAGGGTGCTCCACCTGTGAAGTTTGTAGGCTTTGCCGCGAGTTGTGGATATTCTCATAAATATATATACCAAGCTCCTGAACTGCCAGACATTCTCAGGTAGGAATCAAAATACTAATATTAAATCTGTCATGTTTCACTGAAATATGGAAATGATTTTTATGGTTTGTTAGTTTTCATTTTATGGATTTTATGATAGGGATTGTGCAAATGGTACTGTAATACAGTATGTTAAGCCAATTAGGTTCATGATATCCGCCCTCTTTTGACCATACTGGTTAGACTACAACAGTACCTTATCTTTTAACAGAATGTAAGACTCTTCATTTTCAAAATAAAAAGATTCCAAAGGAAATCCATGGTGTTATTCAAGACGAAAACCACTGAATCATAATGATTTCCCTTGTCAAATTATTCTCTGGTTCACCCAACCATAGAGAATAGGCTCACTCCTGTTTTCACCTCTTAGCTCTGTCTTACTGCTATACCAACTTGAACTAGACTAGCTCTTTGCAGCTCCTGTATGTGGTCAAACATGATAGGATGAATTAAAGACTAAATTACACATTATGGACCGGTTACTCATTCCTAATTATAAAACTGGTTTTCAGTATCAGTCCTTCATTTTTTCTTCTTCTTTTCAAGGGAATTCTTCCATGAAGCTGGAGAGACCAAGAATTAGATTGTAGCAGAAGAGCCAAGGTAATATAAGCTGCAGTATTTGCAAATATAGTACAGTACATTGTTTGTCTTTGTGTGAATAGGTCAGTCAAGACATGTCCCATGTCCTGTCCTCATGCTTGTTTGATTTTTTTTCATTCATTTGAAAACAGGGATGGTTTATTTATACTGTACTGCATTGCTAGTAGCCTAAAGAGCTAATAATTAAGTTTAAGCAAATTTTGAAAGGCAAATATCCCAATACCATAAAAATTTAATAACAGTGGCAGCCATTGCATTCAAGAACAATGCTGCAGCACAGTACAGTACAGGTGATGACAAGAAAGGTGGGTTGTCAAGACTTTACTGGCAGACCGGACATACCAAATAAACACAAAACCTTAATATCAGATTCATTCATGATGATGATGATGCATATTTATAGACAAGGAGCATTTTTTAAGAGTTGATATTCTAAAATTATTTGGTTTATGAAGGCATTTTACTACATCCCTTCACTGCTGCTCAGCCCAGATGCCAATGAAAGAGAAAATTCCTCCTGGAAAACCATTAAACCAATCATCATACATGTGTATGACAGCAATAGTACAGGTAGATGTTAAATGTGGTGATTAGAAAATATGAATGAGCATTAATTTGTTGGATGAACTCACACTGCTAAGCAGTTCTTTGGCTGGGCCCCAAGAGTCAGCCAGGGTTGTTGTGTTATTGCTAGTTTTCAGTAAAATTCAGTTAACACTTTACCATCTTGTACTTTGTCTTTTTTTTTTCCCGCTTGGAGTAATTGCCATACAGCATGCCTTTAAATTTGCAGGGGTTAGGTTCTCAAAATGGTCACGAATAATATTTGCTGACCTGGGGGGGGGTACATTTTTACTTGTGTGCAAAGAAATGCATATTCCCTTTGTGTTTGCCCTTAGGAAAATTATTTATTTTACCTGCATTGTATATATATTTGTGTACACACACACACACACACACACACACACACACACACCTTGACCACCGAAGGGTCAAGACGTACCTGGCGTTCCTCTCGGAGCAGCCAGGTCAACTGTTAAGTTGGCCCATACCAACCCCCTCCCCTGAACCCTCCTCCCCACCGGAATATCAACAAGTTCTCGCCAGAAGTTACAATTTCATTTAGGAAAGGAACGGAACCAGTGTTAAACCGAGGTGAACAGTGGTGAACAGTGCTTAAGTCAGTGAGAACAACTCAACAATAACAGTCACACCCAAGTTAACCTTCACACAGTGAGGTCCCAGGTACCCAGTGATAACGGCCCCCGCGAGACCCAACAACAACCACCGATGTGTTAATCCGTCTACGATAGGAAGGCCTGGGATCAAACCTCACTCATATAACACCATCTGTGAGGGAATTACTACACCACATGTCCCTCATCACACCATCTGTGAGGGAATTACTACACCACGCGATGCCCCTCATAACACCATCTGTGAGGGAGTTACTACACCACGTGAGGCCCCTCATAACACCATCTGTGAGGTAATTACTACACCACGTGAGGTCCCTCATAACACCATCTGTGAGGGAGTTACTACACCACGTGAGGCCCCTCATAACACCATCTGTGAGGGAATTACTACACCACATGTCCCTCATAACACCATCTGTGAGGTAATTACTACACCACGTCAAGTCCCTCATCACACCATCTGTGAGGTAATTACTACACCACGTGAGGTCCCTCATAACACCACCTGTGAGGGAATTACTACACCACGTGAGGCCCCTCATAACACCATCTGTGAGGGAATTACTACACCACGTGAGGCCCCTCATAACACCATCAGCGAGGGAATTACTACACCACGCCAGGTCCCTCATAACAACATCTGAGGGAACTACTACACCACGTGAGTTCCTCCTAACACCATCTGGGAGGGAGTTACTACACTACGAGTTTGCTGTTCAACACCTACATTAATCTGTATGTTCACTGTATGTTCCTTTACCTTTCTCTAATGAAGGCTTTTGTTAAACCACCAATGTATGTAATAAGTCATTTATGTCCCATGTATATTTTCAGCCTTCGGGCTGCAGAATTTTTTCAATAAACCGTTAATTATTATTATTACACACACACAAAACCACAAAACACATACAGTACAAATAAATAATAATGGGAAAATCCTCTCAAGTAATCAGAAACAAGACAAAAAAAAATTAGAAAAAATGTGAGTCGACCCTCAAGTTAACTTCTTGCTTTGTTATTGAAGTTAATAACAAAGCATGGAGTCGACTTGAGGATAGAACTCTCACAATTTTTCTAAAGTTTGTTGTCTTGTTTCTGATTATTTGTGAGAGGATTTTCCCATTATTATTTATTTGTATGTGTTTTGTGTGTGTGTGTGTGTGTCTGTGTGTCTGTCTACACACACAAACACATATACAATACAGGTAAAAGAAATTACTGTCTTTAGAATGAATGGCTCTCTGTCCCGGCTGTGAAAATGCCAGCAACTTTAAAACTACCCTTAGACATTCTTGGGTACTTCCAGGGTGTCATCCGTGAATAATCGAGGTCTGCGAATTAAAAATCCGCGAATTGTCAGGGCATGCTGTAATTTGCCACATCAACGAACTTAAGAAGACTTATTGTCAGTTAGACCTTAAATACAGTCGACCCTCGTTAAAACGGACTAATAGGGGGGAAGGGTGTCCTTTTTAGCCGATTGTCCGAATTAACCAATTTAGGGGTTAATATTGCATTATACAGCTGTGTATGTTTATTTGAGTGCCCCGTCATAGGAGTCTGTTTTCTCTCACTTCAGCACTCCTGAGTCGTCCGTTTTCTCTTAATCTTAGAGTGCACCAGAGACTGTTATATCTTAGTAGTGACACAGAATTTGATGTTGCAACTGGGGTTGCAATTGTTGAGGCAACTTAGGTATGTCTGATTACAGTTGGAATATTCAAGATCCATTGTGAGTGATGTTTAAAGCTTCAACTGTCTTTATGGTTGGTAAAACTTGTCAAGTCTGTCAGTCTGAATGGCATGTGTGAGGCCTTGTGTTTGTACAACCGCTAAATATATAAATATATAATGTTATGATGATTATCAGAAATACATAGGCATAACGAGGTTTATTACAAAGTGATGAAAAGGATACTGTACAGTGGCTAGTCCACAAAACATGTAACCATGTCTCTTTATTTGAGTGCCCCGTCATAGGAGTCCATTTTCTCTCACTTCAGGACGCCTGAGTCTTCCGTTTTCTCTTAATCTTAGAGTGCACCAGGGACTTTGTTATTTCTTAGTAGTGACACAGAATTTGAAATTGCAACCCCAATTGCAACTGGGACAATCCCAGAACCAGAAATTTGATATGGACAGTTCAGATTTCGTCCGATTTATCCGAAATCCGGATTAAAGGGGTCCGAACTAACGAGGGTCGACTGTATATGTAAAAAATATCATTTATTTATAATTTGCTTGCTCCTTTTGCTACAGAATTTATTGCTATTCCAGGGAGGTTAATTTTGTGATGTCTAAGAAGCAAGCCTAATTTTACATAATTCAAGAAACCAGGCCTTGATAGAAAATGTAAGCCAAATTAAAGGTCAAATTTTAACCTGTCTTTGCTGTTGAGAATTATGGAGTATGCTATGCTAGACCAATTGTTCTCTCCAATGAAACAAAGTAGGTTGAGTCCATCAATTTACTTAACCTATAGAAAAAACATCAACAGAAACAACCACATGGAAGATTTATGATGATTTTGTAGTTAATATGTGTTTGAGGAATTCATCCTTCTTGGTTCTTCTTGATCTCACAGCTTTTGATACTGTTGATCATCAAGTATTGGTTGGTGATCTCTTAACTTTTAGTAAATGAGTCTGCTGTATCTGTACCTAAGGCTTACAATATCCATCAGATCATATCCAATGCACTGTATCTTTCCAGTTGGAGTACCATAGGGAACAGTTGGGTCCAATTTTGTTTATCATATACACTTGTGGTTTTGTCTCCTCATTGGAAGGTGAGGCTGTTGGATGAGCGAGGTATGACAAGTTATAATGCGGTGTTTCAGGATTTGTAGATGGTAAATTTAGTGGTGCACATTTATCATGCAGAGTTTCCTCATAAAAATCACATAGTTATGAATATTTTTAGAAACTAAAATCATCTTGATAGAATTGTGTAGGAGTGTAAGCATACAAAAACAAGGTGAATATAGGCAAAAAAAATTTTTTTTATTGTTTTGCATCACTGAACTAATAATTTACAAATCTCATAGCATGTCACATTAACAAGTACAGTACCATGTGTAACCATTTGTTTCATAGAGGAGGGTGTATCTGACTCATGACTTGTCAGTCTACCTATACTGTAATGTTAGTTTTTTTTTAACTTGGACCTTTTATTATTTATTCTTTTCAACAATAAACAAAACTTAAAACTTATTGTTATAATGCTATTTCCTACTTGTGATGCCACAAAAAAAAAACAACAATAACAAACTTGTTTCATCAATTGAAGTGGCTGGCTTAAAGTGGTTGGCACATACAGTTTAGCTATTTTATAACAAGTACCATATACTATACCTTGGTAAACAAGTTGTATCATGAAAATATGTAGAGTAACTGTTCATTATTTTAAACATTCCTTTTGTATTGAATACTTTTTATATGAAGTTAATTGAAAATTTTCATGTTGCTTGAATTGTTCAGAACCATAAACCATATGTGCTAAGACAACTGGCCAAGGCCAGGAGGGTTAGTATGAACAATTACAGTGTTGGACGTTCGTACAGTACTAAAATAGTGCCACTAGCTCAAGCAATTTAGTGCAGTGCAGTACCAGTTATTGTCCAGAAAAGTAGATGTAGAAATTGGTGCACAGGCCTATGCCTTCATCCAGCATACTCTTAAAATAAAAAAATAAAATATTCAACATACAAATACAGGGCATCCTTGCTTAACGTCGGGCTTACGTTCCTGAAAACGTTACGTTATGCGAAACAACATTAAGTGGATCAATTTTCCTCTTAAG